GAAGGTCTGAGTTTTCTTCACTCTATACTTTTAATTCTGAAATGGTTGATACTCAATAATTACCAACCTATATTTCTCTGTCAGTCTCATAGCTCAAATGGTGGTAGAGATGTCTCTGGAGAAGGTGTCCAACAGTCATTGCTAAAATTGCTGGAAGGAACGGTAAGCTTTTCCTTTGTTAAATCTATTATTTTTCCCAACTGCATATAGATGTAAATGGTTCCCAGAAACAATTAGGAATACTGTACTCTGTGCCTTGGTAATATATCTAACCAGCAATTATGAAAAAACAATAGTGAGTGAATCACATCATAACATTTGCCATCCTAGGTAATCAGCTTTTGTTATATAACTGCAGGTGGTCAGTGTCCCGATTCCCGAGAAAGGATTGCGGAGAGATCCTCGAGGAGATAGCATTCAGGTAAATGCGTGAAAAGTCTCCTGCTTCAAACTTTCTTTCTGCATTTCAGAGTACACTTTTGTGACACAGTCGGGACAAATACTCTGGTTCATGGAAAAGCTGAACCTTTTAGTGGAAAATCAAATATGCAGATGGATACAAAAGACATCCTTTTTATTTGTGGTGGAGCATTTATTGATCTGGAGAAAACTGTTTCCGAAAGGTAAGATTTCTCTTCTTTTATAGATTCAGCAAAGTTTTCAGTCCTACCCTTTTCTCTGTGTACTATAGGGCTTGAATGCCATATATTTATCTCTTGACCAGGCAACATGATGCCTCAATTGGTTTTGGTGCTTCCGTTCGTACAAATATGAATACTTCTGGGTTCAGTAGTGCTACAGTAACATCTTCGTTGTTGGAATCTGTAAGGAATACATTCTTATACGACTCATCAGATTGTATGCTACTCTTGTGCATAGATGATTGTCAAATTGATGTAATTTGCTCATTGTCTGATAAAAGAGCATGTATAAGTATTGTTAATTTGGTTGTAGTTACAAAGTGAAGATCTTGTTGCTTATGGTCTCATTCCTGAGTTCGTTGGAAGGTTACCCATCTTAGTGAGCTTATCTGCATTAAATGAAGATCAGCTTGTACAGGTAACCTTTCTACTTGTTGTTGCTAGTCGTGACTGTACTGATGGAATGGTTTTCATACATCGGGAGTTTTTGATAAAACTCTTATTATCCTGGCTGCTTATTGTTTATCTTTGTGCCACTCCAGTAAGTGAGTGATGTATGAGATTGCATCTGGAGTTTCTTTCAAAACTTTTTAGTTCAGGCATCTTTATAAACTCTTTAGTTCAGGCATCTGGAGTTTGTTACAAGTTATGAATTTTTCTAGATCCTTAATCCTTATGCAGGTTCTCACAGAGCCTAAGAGTGCATTGGGTAAACAGTACAAGAAATTATTTCGCATGAACGATGTAATTCTTTTTACCGCTCAAAGTTTACTATACATATGCCTCCTCCCTCTGCTATAACCCATCTTTGCTGTGTGGATTATGCTTTAGGTCCAACTGCACTTTACTGAAGGAGCAACGAGGCTAATCGCGAGGAAGGCTATGTCGAAGAACACTGGTGCACGTGGATTACGGTCTATACTAGAAAGTATCCTCACCGAAGCAATGTATGAGGTATGAGGAATGCACCCTTATTGTCTTTGATACTTCAGCGCGGATATTTTACTGAAATCTTTGCATTAACCACAAATGCCGTGCTTTTAAATGTTAAAATTGAATCGTAAACAGGTACCAGATAGCATGACGGAAGGATCACAGAGTATAAAGGCAGTTCTGGTGGATGAAGAGGCTGTTGGTTCAGTTGGCACTCAAGGATGTGGTGCGAAAATTCTTAAAGGAGATGATGTGTTGCAACAATTTGTTGAAGAAACAGAGTCAAAGGTAAGCTTAGTGCAACATATGCTAATTTGACACACCGTATATGGAATCTTTTGTGAGAGCTTCACAAATGGTGTTATGTTATAGGAGAAGAGAAAGGAGGTTGAAGCTGAGAGAGCTCTGAGCTTATAGCCGAGCTGATGTTATGACTTATGAGAGGTGTGACCGTGTGAGTATTGTTAGATATATAGGGCATGAATGATCTCAGTCAGCAAAGCTTAGTAGTTTCAGTGTTCAGATTCGTTAACAAGAAGATAAAAGAGTAAACAGTATTTCAAAGGGGAGAGCACTCTCAAATGTGCTTGTTGCATAAGTTGTGAATAAGATATGTGAGTGTGAGGAATGCACTCTACACTGTATTAGCATAGATGAATAGTAAGATGCTATTATATCTGTTATGTTACTTCCATTCCAGTGGCCGTATGACCACTTTCTTAAGCCACATATGATATAGAAGATTACCGATGACCAGGAAGAGTTGTGATTGTCGATCTTTCTTGTTTTTGACATTGTGATTGCCACAATAAAGGTATTAGAGAATAGTTCTCTTAAGCAACAGTTGCCTCTTTTATATCGAATTGTTAGTCTTGGCCTCTTTCCCAGAGACACCCCACAAAAAACTTAGTTAGATGGGTGACGTCATTTAATTATTTTGAATATTAGATTTATTTTGTTAAGTTGATCAAATTACGATTATATACAAACAAATTATCATGTCATATTTCACGTTTTACGGGTTAACTTATAGAATTAACAATCAAAACACAATAGTACAGTTTTATATACCAAACAAAATTTAAATAATAATTTATTTTAAAATATCATCCCGCGATGTACCGTGGGTTAAATTCTTGTTATTATATATAATTTTGAGTATACGATTTAGACCTCTTTTTTCTTTTGAAATCAATTTTATAAGACAATGTTGTTGAAACCCAAGCAGAATCTCTTGAATTATGGTCAATGACATAACAATAGCACCGAGTATCTTTTAAGACCATCTCCAATGCTAAATTTCTTAGCAAGTTTGTTAGTAATATTTTAATTATAAAAAGTACAAAATTTGAAGCTAAAAACTTAAGTAAAATTTATATCTCCAATGGTAAAAGTTTTAACAAGTTTCTAAGCATTATATTTAAAAAAAAATCAGAAAACTTGTTTTTATTTTATTTCTTGGCTCCATTCAATCAGAAGTGAACACATGTTTTTAAGAATCAATTTCTGAAATTCTTAGCCAAGAAATATTTTTTAGCATATTACACATTTTTGATTTATTTATTTTTCTTTTTAAATTCTTAGAAACCTGCTAAAAAAACTTGCATTGTAGATGCTCTTAATTTCTTGATGAATTGTGATAGTAACTTTGTCGGAAAGCTGGTCTTCTTTAATCTCCTAAACAGTATAATTGATGTTTTGGCTATTTGTTTGGCAAGAAACCAGATTTGTTAGCATTCTTGTGCTTTGAAGTTTGACCAAAATTATACAAAATGGTTTTTGTTTCTAAGAAGGCCTAAAGGAGCCTATAAGTTAACCCATTACAACTGGCTTCACCCAAATTCTCTTGTTCCAATAACACACGAGTCACGACTCCTTGGATCCATCACAAGTTCACAACTCAATCAGAACAAAAGTGGAACCATTTTGAAACGCTGGTCGGATCCTAGTGTCTTAGTATTAGGCTATTAGCACAGTGCAACACAAGTCTTTTATCTTAGTTATATTGGGTTGGGCGTTACTGTAGAAAAACTTTCATAATTAAACATGATTTTTATTAGAGAATTTTAGAATGAAATATTGGAGACTTTTGGAGTGTTTTCCAATTATTAAATTTTTTTATCAACTTTAATAATATTAGAAACTATATCAAAATAATTATTACCATTGGATATAAATTTTGTTGATTTGTTTTGCTAAATTTTTTGAAAAGAATATCTGACAAAAAAATTTCTAATCTAAAAAAAACTAAAAATATATAATCTTATAATGGTGAGATTGATCTCATCAAAGATATCTATTATATTTTTGTTTACAAATCCATGGAAATTAAAAATGATTTCTAATAGAACTGGGTAAAATTTAATTTATCTTATAATGGTGAGATTGTCTATGTTACTTTTCCATTTATATATTGTTACGATAAGACCAATCGCCTAACCTTAATATCAGGGACAAAAGAAACAATCTCATTTTACACACAACTCGGGAATCCCAAATGGACCCTTGTCAGGCGGATCAAAAACATATCTATGGAAGACAATATTTGCCAACCCTGGATCATGGTTTTGTATGACGGCAAGCATCTTATGGTGAGGGAGATGAAGAATCATCCTTATTACAAAGGTGTGTTTCATGTGTATGACATGGAAGCTAACAGTTGGAGAGTTTTAGGGTCGTCCAAAAAATGGGTACCAGAGAACGTATGGAACTCCTATAAGTTTACACCCTCCTTCTTTCCTGTCGACGAGGATGCACACAATGATAAGGCAATACAAGCGTGTGATGACCCACGCATCTCTTATCTAACTGCGGTTATAGAAATCATTGGTAAAACTAAGTAAACTATCTAGAAGAATGTTTGTTTCCCATATGCTTTCTAATAGCAATATCATGGTTCAAATATTTTTGTGTCTAAAGTGAAATTTTATTTAAAAACATAAGCATGATCTCTCTTTATGCGGATTAGTGATTGTATACATTAACAACTGTAGTCATAAAAAATTGGTAAGCACAATAGTCTGATCATATCCACTTACCAATTTTTTAATATTACATTTTGATAAATGAATGGTTAAGCAACTTCTGATTGATTTTGAAAAGATTGGTTGTTCAATGGTAAGACTTTTCATGCATTGCTTAAAAAAAAAATTGGTTGTCATTACTTTTGTTATGTGTATTAGTTCCTTGAACCCTGGTTAAAAATCAAGCCGTATGTGACTAGTTAGAGAACTAATAATTGTGTTTGGATTGTCGAGGAATCTATTAGAATAAATTCCATAAACATGTTTGTAGCATTTTCTAAAGATATTGTTCCAGTGCGCATTATGATTTAACTTGATAGGTATATATAATCTTAGTATAGTACGATACTAACTACAAACTAAATTCTTCGACAGTTAAATTTAGTCACAGCAACGTTTCACATGCATCATATATCATACCATTAGATTTCAACAAGGAACTTACCTGTGAAGTTAGGTGATTAAGTGTATCTCATCTTCTGCTCTCCCTCTCTCTCTCTCTGCACCATAATTAAGTTCCAATCCTAACTAAACAAAAAGTAAAAATTGTAATCCATTTAAAAAAATAACAGTCCACATAAAATAGAACTTAATCTATTTGAACAATGGATATAAACGAACATCTAAGACTAGAACAAAATTAGAAGACTAGACTGATCTCACCATGACTACACAAACATCTAAGACTAGAACAAAATTAGAAGACTAGAGAACTTCAAATGTTATCCTTTATATTGTGGCGGCGATGATGCATGCATGCATGAGCTCGTAATTTATTTTAATCCATTGTAGCACAAAAATCCATTCAAACTCTTATAATTTTTTTTTTCCTTTCAAAATAATAACTCTTAATAAATTTTTTCTAAAGTAATAAAGTGTTTGTTTACTGTAATAATCCAAATAAGGTAGGTAACAAGGCGAAATTGAGCATGACTAAAACCGATTCCAAACATATATATAAAAAGTCAATCAAAAAAAAAAAAACAAAAAAACAAAATTCCTCAGCTGCCACCTCGTCATATACTAAAGTATAATTAGTTTGGATCATACGAAATCCTTAAACTTGTGTGCTACCATAAACCACTTGTTGTATATTCATTCTTGGTATAGTAAAAAATGTAATTCTTGATCGACCAACCTTACACATATATGAGTATATTATCGTCGATCATCACTCATTCTCCAACAGAAAAAAAAAGTAAAGAGCAAATGTTGAAACGCTGTATTTTTACTTTTACTTACAATAGCAATTTTTTTTCGTTTCACACAACTGTAAAGGTAAATTGAACCATTGAGACACGGTTCCTTGGTTACTTAATTCAGAGGAGATAGTATTATGGATGGTGACAGAAAACTGCAAAAGCTATATCCTAAAATGGATATAGATCAAAGCTCCTAAGTGCGGCATTGGAAGATGAAGAAGAAGAAGAAGTACACGCAAAGGAAAATCAGCGTAGAGGGATGATCATCTCTCTGCTATAAAAACCGCAACGGGTTTTCACAACTCAAAACATCACAAACAAAAGAACTAACACAGAGAGCAAGAGATTTTCAAACAGCAAAAACAAGACTTTTGTATTCTTTCAAAAAGAGAAAAAAAGAAAAATGGGGATCGTAGCATTCAACTGGACAGAGAAATCCAATGGCAAGTGGTGGTCCAGGTCCTCCAAGAACGACGACAATGAGATGACGCTTGTGATGAACAGAGACAATTGGGGAAACAGGCATGTTTTTAAAAATCCTTTCCAACGTTTCTTCTTTCTTAGTTTCTGAATTTTGTGAATCGACCGTATACGTACGTACGTACGTTAATAATCTTGATCATGACTTTATTTTAATTATGGGGTCTGTCTCTGTCTGATCAGGGTCATAACTAAGGCGTCGTGGGATAAGAAAGACCGTATTTTGTGTGGTCGGTGTGAAGATAACAGCGGAATAAAAGATAACGACGTCGGAACGTGGTTAGCTATTTCTCGACGAGGCCGAGTCGCGTTTCTCATGAGTGGAACTTTGTTGACAGACGACGTTGTTCCATTATACGGCTGCGAGAAGTACCCCACTGAATTCTTGGAGGTATCATCTTTGTTGTTGCATGCTTATAATTTGCATATATTTCACTATTGTTTCAAAACATATATCTATATATATATTTTGATATCTTAATTTGATCACGTACGGGATTTCTTTGTTTGATCGCAGAGCGATATGAGTCCTCGGGAGTTTGCCGAACATATAGTACGGCGTGACGGGGATAAACAAAATACGTGGTCCTATAGCCTTATAGTCGCAGACATGGTTTCGGGACTCATGGTTCATATCAGGAAACCTGATCCGAATAAGCCGGATGTCATGATAGAAGACGTTCGGTTTGGTGTGCACACACTTTCTCCTCACGAAGGTCTGGATTCCACACACCCTAAGGTAATCATGCATGTTACAAGTGTCTTGTTTGTAACTATAACTACAGTCTACAGGACAGTCCTTCTTGTCAAAATCTTATTGCGTATAGTTGTTTCTTACCCTTTCAAACCTTCTTTTTCCTATTTGCAGGATATGCACCTGAAACACCGTTTTACTCAGATGATTAAGGGTTTGGGAGACGATCCATTAAAAAAGTTAAAAGAGTTTGCTGAGGGCTTTATGGCTAGTCCTGTAGGAGAAGGTGATCAAGAACCGGTGTTTGTTGACAAAATGCTTAACCATCCTGATATACAAGTAAGAAATTTGATGTAACGCTTTTATTATAGTCCATATACATATTCCTTTCATTAATCAGCTATAATCTCTTTCTTTTGCGTTTAAATTCAGCGTGGGCTTGGAAAGCAACGCTATGGAACAACAAGTACGACAGCATTGCTGGTGAAACACACTAGGGAAGTGATGTTCTTTGAGAGGTTCAGGAAGGAGGATGGTGTATGGGACACGCACAACATCGGTTTCAACTTTCAACTTTGAGCAGCGAGAGTAACAAAGAAACATTCTTTGGATCATATCATTATCTATATAATTAATAAATAATCTTGTTGATATTGTAAATAAACATATACACATCTCTTCTCTCTATTGTCTTAGAACATTATGCTTAAACTAAATAAATCAAATAAAATTGCTGGTATTATATTTTCCATTTATTCAATTCTTTGGCTGCATAATATTTTTTTTGGGTCTGTTAATTAAGTCTTAAATACATGTATTATTATAACTAAGACCAAATACTAATTAAATAATCAAATACAAAGAGTAACATAGACGAGCGTCACGAGACCGTACCATCTCCTCCGTCTTCACGCTCTCATCAAATTCAAGAAATAAGTGGCGCTTCTCCATTTCAAAATCCTAATTCATCTCTCTCTTCTTCTTCGACAAACGGAACCCTAATTTCACGACGCAAACATGATTTTGAGAACTCCGCCGCCGAAAAGGCTCAAGTCCGACGCCGGAGGTAGCCCCATCTCCGCCAACGCCTCTGGTTCCGGTAATCAGCTAGTCATCTACGAAGATTCTCCTCTTCCTGCTCCTGTCCCGCTGCAAACTTCGGATGATCATTCCGATCAACACCTTTGCACCTATCAATGTCGCCAAATGGTTATTTTACTCGTATCTCTCCTCTAAGCCTCCATACACATTTAATCTAACTAAGATTAACGAATCTGAGGTTTTTTTTTTCCCCGGCTTGTTTTAGGTTAAAGCTGATCTCCTAGATGCCTTTAGCAAAGCAGAGAAACAAGTTCAGGAATATCAAACTAAATTACAGACTCTAAATGCCAACTTCAGCGAAGCAGGTGAGAGGGTCTTGATCCTGATTGTTTTAGTGGGTCTTTCTCTTTTTGCTTTTGCTGTTATTGGGAAAAAATATACTTAAGAATTTGGTTTTGTTGTTCTACAACAGATGCAGAGAGAAAGCAATTACGAGATAAATTCTTGTACTCAGAGCAAGAACTGGCTGCTGCTAAAGGGCGTGAAAAGATGCTTCAAGAGCAGCTCCTTATGGAGATCAACAATTCCCAAGAGCGGTATACCAAAGCACTACAATCTTGCCATGAACTGGAGGTTGATTTGTTTACTATGGCCTAATCTCTTTTACTGCCTTCAAAATTTGTCATTGGTGTCAATCTCATTATCGTTTTCCTCCTTTGACATCAGGTAAAACATCAAAATGAAATGAATCTTCGAAAGAAAGCAGAGTCTTCTGCTGCAACAGCTGAAGAAAAAGCTAAACTTTTGGAGGATAAACTAACTCAGCTATCTGGAAGTGTTGACAGGGAGAAAAAACGTCTCAACAATGATATTGCCCAATTGGGTAAAGAAGCAAAGCTTTCTGTGTCTAGGATTGGTGCAGATGTAAGTACTAATTGTGAAACTTGATATCTTGATTGAAGTTTTGTTTTTGGTTTCTCACGCAATTACCCTAATGGCGCCTGCTTTCCTTTACATTTAGCTTGAAAGGATGCAATGTAGGGCACAGAATGCAGAGACGGAATCAAATCTTTTAAGATCACAGCTAGAACAGCTTAAACTCAAATTTGACGAGGTTAGTATATTTGACTTGCATATTAGAAATAATAACACAAATCATGAATTATCATTTGTTTTATTTTTTGTCACATTTGATTCTTATTTTGCAGTGTTTGCATGAAAAGACTGAAGTAGACAAGAAGCTTTCGTCATTCACTTCGCAGACAGCATCTTCTTCAGATAACAGTGTATTGGTTAAACATCTTCAGGAGGAAGTTAAGCGCTATGTAAGTTTTACCAGTTCTTAGTATACCGGGAGTAATGATTTTACAAAGTAGACGTACTGAAATTTGATGTCGTTTTCATTTAATAGTTATGCACTCACATATCCATCGTTTGAGGACATGTACCATTGTAGATTTTATTTTCCACTTCTATACTATCCATGTAATGTCTATTTAGTTTTTTACTTTTTGTTTTTCTTGTCAAATTTTATCAGGAAGCTGAAGTGCGAGAAGCTAGAAAGTTAAAATCGCGGCACGTAGATATTGAGTTGTTGAAAGTGAAATTGCTGGAAGAAACAAGCCGTAGGGAGAGGGCAGAGTCAGGGTTAGCAGAATTGCAAGATTTGCAGCTAAGCATGGAGAAGTTGAACAGTGAATTGTCCTCTTGGAAGTCATTGCTAAATGACATTCCTGGTGTATCCTGTCCTGATGACATAGTTATGAAATTCTCAGCGCTTCAGAAGTAAGTACAGATTTTATCTTTCACTAGAGTCTTCTTCTGATATTGTCTCGAATATTTATGCTTTCCATGAAAGAGTCTGTGCAGAAAACTGAGGTAGTTGTTATGGGGGACAGTTTCATGACTTTTCCTAGGTGAACTAGATAGTAAATTCCAGATATAGCTTTATATTTAATGATATTCTGGCTCGCGAGTCTAGCAGGTCGAGTGTGGGCCTGTGAGCATCTAGACTACTGATTTCTAGTTTACCAAGCACTCTGAGTTAACTACATGTATCTATGATACTTCCTCCTGACTTGTGTTTCTGACTTTGAAGTGAGGTGGTCCAAAGCTCTATGAAGATTGGGGAAGCAAGTACACGTTTTAAACAACTGGAGGTGGCTCTGGAGGCTGCACAACTTGGCAGACAGAATGCTGAAACTGAGGCTGCATCAGCGAAAGAGAAATCGGAGGCTCTCAAAACAGATGTGAAGAGGATTGAAGTAATGGTAAGATTGAAAATTGTTCCTTGTGCTGTGTAAGGTGCTACAAGTGCATTTTTTATATTTCGCTGGTTCCTATTTAGGCCTCTTAAGTTGAGTTTTGATTCTTGGGGGATAAAAAAAAAGCATTTTTAATTGGTGGCACTCAAATGTTCATCATCTTACATCCAATATTCTTGTTTAGTGATTGTTTTACTTGGTTTCTCAAGGTATCACTGTCTTTGCTTGGATATATACTAACCCAGCTCTATAGTTTCAGCTTGATTGTTGAGGTGTGCAATCATAAGAAGCTGATTTTAAGCAGTGTAGTTAGAGACAATGTTCCTAGGATAATATCCCAAGTATTTTTGGATCTTCACGTTGGGTTGGTTATTAATTAGAACATATTTAGTTTCTCTATAAAATGTGGGGAAAGTCTGTTTGTTCCAGATGAGTGTATTCAATTGTTAAATTTGGTGCAATTGCCTCCTATCGAACCATGAGGCTATTATAAATTTATGATGAGCTGATTTATTAAAAATATCATGTCCTTTCAGGATAGGTGATAACGTGTGTAGTCTACTGTTAGAATTTGTAGCAAACGTCCTTTCTTTTAATCATGGAGATAACTTATATAATTTTCTATCCTCTTGTTGCACTATTGCTAACAGTTCTTTAATTTTATAATAAAGCTCTCCTTGGTCACGGAGGAGAAAGAACAGTTGAAAGCTGTTGTTAATGAATTAAGGAAGTCAGACAGTGAAGGATCTGTGCCTGGGGCCACAGATGGAACCCTTATTCAGGTTCTGGAATAATATTGTTCATATTTTGAAGAATTCACTTCTTTTCTGTTGGAAGCATAAGGCTTACTTAGTTTGCTTATATTTACAGGGGTTTGAATCTTCTCTTGCAAAGAAAGAGAACTATCTTAAGGATTTGGAGAAGGATCTAAGTGAACTGAAGGATGTCAATAATCGTCTTCGTAGCGAAATGGAACTTTTAAATGAGAAACTAGTCGATCAAGCAAGGAGGAATAAGTCGCTGGAAAGGGACAGTGATCGTCTTCGTTCCGAGATCTCTTTACTGGAGTCAAAGGTACATATGTCAGAGATGTGTGCTTGCAAAAGAAGATTGCCAGAAAGAAATTGCTTATAGAAATTTTATCTGACATGGTCGAAATGAATTTATAAGCTTAAGGGTGAATGGTGAATTTTGTGTTCTACGTCTTATGTTGTCTTAGGTGTCATGAAATGTTTTATTATTGTACAGGCGAACAGATGTAATATTTAGGACCCTTAACTTCTACCCAAGGAATCGTAAAATAAAATTTGTTTCCTTTTTATATGGCAGCTGGGTCATGGTGATTTTTCTGCTGCAAATACAAGGGTTTTGCGCATGGTGAATACTCTTGGTGTTGAAGATGAGGCAAAGCAAACAATAGAGGCTTTACAGGCTGAGTTGCAGAAGGCAAAAGAAAGACTTCAAGCTGTTGAAGAATTGAAGAACCAGTCTGGTAAATTTCTGATTGTCAACCTTTTCGTATTTTTTATACTGGGATGACCACACGTCTACCATTTAATTTCACTCTCACCATATAATTCACTACAAGCTGGAGAAGCATGCCTTAATTTTTGTGGGACACTGTACTCTGCATCAGAATTTGTGGTTCACGAGATATAAAAGGGACACCAAAAATATTGCTGTTGCCCTGACTCAGGAAAGCTGGAAAAGAAACATTTTAGTGTTTCAATGTTATTCTAGTTACATATAGTAAACTTCTGACAGAATATTCCCATATATATTCAGGAGATGCTGGGAAGCTAGTTGACTCTCATATAACTGGAAAGATTGCTCAACTAAAAGAGCAAATTGCTACACTTGAAAAACGTGAAGAGAGGTATGTTGATTTTGATGTGTTTAACATTCTCTTTGCGGCTATGACCTTGCTTTCTCGTTCTGAACTATGTGGAGTCTTTGTAACAGGTACAAAACTGTTTTTGCTGATAGAATTTCCGTGTTTAGAAGAGCTTGTTGTGAGCTTTTTGGATATAAGGTATGTCACTTGCTCATGTCGTAGCACTCAAATATCTTTCTTTGCCGTAATTTTTTAACTGATAGTGTTCACTATCAAATTCTAAAATGTCATATTGAATACTTTGTGATGAACTGGGGATTCTATGTTGCAAAAGGGGGTTCAGCCATTACTGTATTTAGTTGCCTTACCTTCCATTATCCGTGTAGATAGATTATAATAAATTCTTGTTCATGTATAGTACTTGTAACCTTGTGAATTCTTTTGAAAAACTATGGCAGATTGTAATGGATGAACATCAACGTCCAAATGGAATCCCAGTGACTCGATTTACTCTCCAGTCTATATATGCTCAAAGTGATGATGAA